TATTTACCAATATATAGCTAAGGGGGAAAATAGATAGCTTCATACTGTTCTCAAGAGTATTAGCATTAGTCATTAGAACTCAACTCTCCAATTCCTCAATTTAAGCTGCAATCTATTACTCCACCGTGCCTCTGATAGTTGCCAGTAAAACGTATTTCCTCTTGTTGTTGTCTAGTATTAGTCCAACTCCTCTTTTATTCTTCTCTCGTCCTGAGTATATAGTGATTGTTACTCAGAAAATACTAAATTTGTCTTATTTTGCAATGTTAATCTTTAGCTGTTTCTAGCTTTTCACATTTATACAGCATACCAATATTCTATATCCCAATTGGGATCCTACCTTTTGTTGCATACTGTCACTGAATCATGATCAGATGGTTGTTTTTCTTAACACCCACACCCACACACGTATGTATGTGTGTGTATGTATATCCTGGTTTATCCTGCCTAAAAACAGCAAGCTGTATTGGTCAATGTAAAATACAACACAATATAAAAATTTCAAAAGTAAAGAGTAAATTTGTGGCTGAGTGAACTGGCTACTATTAACCTAACCACTAATCCCTTAGCCCTCTCTTTATCCATTCCTTCCCTTTCCACTACCAATCTAATGTGTCCATCTGGTGTATTTTCTCCATTTACCAAGTAGATTTTGGTCTGAAGAGTTAAATATCTCGGTGTTCACGAAATAAATTTATAATCAAATGGATTCTTTTTATTTTATATATATATATATATATATATATATATATATATATATATATATATATAGAGAGAGAGAGAGAAACTGCAAACATTTTTTAGTTATAATGTGGATTTTATTTAGTATATATATTTATATTTTTATTATTCATATTTCTGCTACACTCGTTTCCAGTCTTGACACCTTCTTCAAGCAAATAAAAGGAATAAATTTTTAAAAAGATTAAATTTTCCTTATGTTCTGCCTAAGTGTTAATAAAACCATTAGGTATGAGAGGTGGTGATGATAGATGTATTGATAAGAGATGTCTTCCTATCCCTGTGTGCATGCATGTTCCTGTTAGCCTGCATATGTATACTCCCTCCCCATGTATACATAATGCCATAATAAGGAATCAGCATACACATATATGTATATACACACCCACACATGCACACACACTCTTCTTGTGTTTGTGTTTTTACCAGTGTATGTGTGTGTATATATATATATATATATATATATATATATATATAAAATGTATTTTTGTTCTCCATGGATACCTGTTTGTGCATGCATACGTTTATCTATGTGTGGTCTGACCCGTGTATCTGGCCATCATATGTGCATGCTGTGTGGGGTTATGATCTGTTCAGTGCTGGTTTAAACTTGTCTATGAAGTTTTTTCCTGAATTTGTAGGAAAGAGTAGTTGCCTGTTTGGTATATTGGCATAGTTTTAAATTTGCCTTGATTGCATTTGTAGATGTGTTGTGACATAAAATGTTTTCTTTTGTTGATAATTTGATATTGCTTTTGTGAAGGGCAACTCTGTTATGTGATGGACTTGCAGTTTAAATTTTTATTTGTGAATGTAGTTGGGTTTTCTAAAGTGTAGGAGTTCCCTTCTATAATGACATCACAAACCCCACATCTTTTTTTTTTGTTGCATTTTGTGATCTGTATATTGTGTTGGTTAAATTTGGATGAAGTTAATGTTTCAGTTTTTTAGATTGGAGTTTGCTTTTAATTATTTTGGTTGCTTTTAGTATATTTTTCATTTTGTCATTCTTTTTAAGTAAGTCTAGATTTCTTGTAATTTCTGTAAATAGTTCTGGATTGTTTTTATTGTATGTTGAGACATATGATAGTGTTTGTTCAGTATAACATTTCTTATTTTTTATTTCGTAGTTGGTCTAGAGGTGTTTTTTCTGCTAGTTCAAAACCTTATTCTTATTTGTTGCTATATATGCTACTGATGTTAAAAGTAGCCATAAGTGTTCCTGGAACAAATTTTTGTGGTATCGAGCTAAGGAAGTGAATATCATCTCTGATGTAGCTTTTAATCTGCTTAGTAAATGGTTGTAGTATTGTGTCTATTAAGTTACTGAGTCTGCTAGTTGGACAAGCTGATCCTCATACTGTGTCTGAAAGTAAGGTCACTGGGGTTTGGGATGTTAATGTATTCAGATTTTTGTGTCTGGATCTCTGCTTTTATTTCACTCGATTTGTGAAATTTTATTAGTCCTTAGAAATTACTTGTTTTTGGTGCAAAGTTTATTAGAAAATCCTTTTCTTTTTTTTCTTTTTTTTTTAATATTTTATGTCATGCAGAGTTTTGTAATTTTTGATATAATATTTTTGTCTATGTTGGTATTGATTAATTTGTAGTTCTTATCCCCTATTGTCTCTAAAGTTTTTGTTTTATAATATATTTTGTCTATGATCACTATAGTGCTGCCTTTATCTGCATCCTTTATAATTGTTATTTTTACAGATGCTATCTAAGGCTTGTCTTTGTTTGTAAGGTTGTTGAATGGTTTGGATTGTTCTTGTAGGTTGAGGTTTCAGAATTTTTCAAAAAAATATGTTGTATCATTTGTATTATTATTTTTGTTTGGGAAGAAATTGAACTTATTTTTTTTTTTTACTAATGATTCATCTGTAATGTTTTCATTATTAAATGATTCTTTTAATCTAAGTTTGCATTCAAATTCTCTAAAGTCTTTTTTTAGGAGCAGGGAAGAATTTTAGGTCTAATTTTAATAGGTTGATTTTGTCCTTTGTAAGTGTATATGTAGATAGGTTTATTCTGGGTTTTGTGTCATCTAAATTGGCCTTGTTTGGACTGGGCCCTCTAAAAACAATGATTCTTTCCACATATTTCAGGTTTACCAAGAGAAAACCTCTCTCTACACATTTTGGGTTTTCTAGCCATTGAGATTTTTTCTTGGTAAAATTGGGGTTGTTGTTTCTCAATGGCTCTATATAAGTGTCTGTTGTTGTTATAAGGAGTGTTCCAGATGTTTCTGGATTTATTGTTTCTGTATGGATTGTATGTAGAGATTTTTGGAGAATTTTGATTGTGTTCATTAATATGGGTAGTGGTTGTTAGATTTGGTTTGTTGTGCTAGGTGGAATTTGTAAGTGTTGGTTCTGTGAATGTGTGTGTATTCTGACCTATGTTTGTGTTATGATGTGATGGTATGTTGTAAAGGTTTTTTTTGTGCGATGTTAGGCATATTTTCGTAATTGTATTTGTTATGTGGTAGTACGTATTAGGGTTTCTTACCTTTGCTGATGTTACATGTAGTTGTTTTGTGTTGAGCATTGTGTTTTGTTTTGAGTTTGGATTGTGTTTTTTATTATCCAATTTTTCTTTTCTTTTGGTAATGTTTTCAGCCAGTTTATCTTTCTTTCCAAGATATTCCAGAATTTTTCCTTGTCTTTTTTGCATTTTGACTCCCATAATTCTGATAGGAATTGGTGAGTTTCTATGGGGCAGAGTTCCTTGATTTCTATCAATAATTTATTATCAATTTCGGTGTATTTTTTTCATGACGCTTTCTTTTATTTCAATTTGGGTCTGGAATTTTGCTAGGCTCAGTGTACTTTTTATTTGTTCCATGTCTTGTGGATTGATTTTTTTTTTATTTTTTTTTTCAGAATTTCTTTGGAATAAATGTTTTTTCAATTTCTATGAAGGTTTTGTATCTTGTGGTTTCTTTATTTTTGATGGCATTGAAAAATGCTAGTTTTCTTTAAGTAGATTGTCCTACATCTGGAGAATTTCTCTTTGTTTTGTATGCTCCCTCTTGGATGTGTAATATTTTGATATTTTCTAGGTATTCACACTGTTTTGAAATATTCAATCAGTGTTTCTGTGTTGCAGTTGTGTTCCCTGGTTTGTTGTGATGTGATTTGTAGAATTATAGTGACCTTTTTTTTTTTTTTTTTTTTTTTTTTTTCTTTTTTTTTTTTTAATTTTTATAATTCTTTCTTCTAAAGTTCCTGTTTTTTGTTGGTAATTTTGTATAATTCAAGGAGTTCTTCCATGGTTTTCTTTTATTCCTTTTATTTGCCTGAAGAAGGTCATGAGACTGGAAACGAATGTAGCAGAAATACGAAGAATAAAATATATATACTAAAACAGATCCACATTATAACCAAAAACGTTTACAGATTCTCTTTTTTTTTAAATATACATTTTTCTCTTGTTGGAACACCTTTTTCCCTATATATATATATATATATATATATATAAGCACCCATGCCATAATTTCATGCCTGAACAAGAGGAGGCTTTCTTCATTGTTAAAATTTTCTTAATCAGTTTTTTAAATTTTTGCACACTATTTTTGAAAACTTTAATATCATTTATAATTTTATATACCATAGAATTTTCTATAATTCTTATCATTCTGAGATTTATAACAATTGTTTATATTTTCTAGAATATTTTTAATACATTTTCAGTGTTATATTTCAATAACTCAATTTTATCTTTCACTTTTCTATATAGAATGTTGTCTAGTAATTAGTCCATGTCATATAGAGTGTAAAATCCAAAATTTAGTTAAGGTAGAAAAATTAATGTTTGATGCCATAATTCACACTTGTAAAATTAAAGTTCTGCAAAAAATAAAATTTTAGAGCTTTTGTAACCTTACCTTACAATTTTAACTTTTTATTTTTTTATTTTCATTTTTTTTCTTCTAAACAATAATGTGCTAATTCTTAATATATTCACTGATTTACTCTCTTTTTCATTAGTGTACATTTATTACATATTGACCTGCACTTTTCAGTTGTCATAGTTTTGTAAATGAACTCTGACAATTTTTAGATACTTTAGATACATTTTCATTTGTCAAACTAAATTTTGCAAGTTTTGGTATCATCATTTGTGGTATTCATTAATATTTTTTAAATTGGAGTTTAGATGCATTCTCCTTCTCACCTTTTAAAAATTATAGTAAAAATATTTTATGAAAGTTTTATTTTATTTATTTTTTTTTTTATTTATGCTTGACAGCATTTATGGAACAATTCTTGGCAGAAAATGTAGCAAACATTTCTATATGCTTATTTGTTTTTACTCCTTTACAGGATACAATATCTGTGCACCGGCCTGGGTTTTACTCTGAACGATTTCAGAATTTCTTTGCTAATTCTGCTTTTAAGAAAACACAAACTCGTAAGTACCGCTTGGATCAGTAAATGTGTTTACTGGTGTTTCCTCCTTGTTGGTTACCATGGAAACCAACTGCTGCACTACCATAGCTGACCAGCTTTACCTCTGGCTAGAACAAACCTGTCATTAACATGCCACTATTGCACATTGTGACAACAGCAACAACAAAATAAAACAGAACAACCCAAAATGAAAAATGGAACATATATTTATTTTTGTAGTCATCATTGTAAATAACATTGACACTTGGCGAAGATTCAAGTCTTGCTACCATTTAAAACACAGAACCACCACCATTGACACAGCAGTAGCTATTTTTAATATTACTATTATTATAACAATTCCACCCCCTCCCCCCAAAATAAAACAAAAACCAAATGTCTAGCCATGCACAGTATATTTTGCATTTAATAGCATCCAGCACAAACTTTCCAGTATAAAATATTCTTGTCCTTTACAGCAAATAACAATAAAAAAAAATTACTGGGATTGTTGTTTTCTTGATAATTTAGAGCATTTTGCATTGTGCATAAAATATAAACCCTAATCCCTTAGCTCAAGTATCTTGGGTTGTACAGATCATCAGTCACCCACTCCACACACACACACACACAAATATTTCCTACATCTCTTCTCTAATTTAAAAAAAAAATCAATGTTAATTTGATTTTCTTAAAAATAATAGTAGTACTGTAAAATTGTAAATTTATCTGAAAGATCTCTGTATTATGCTGGAATAATACTGAAAACTCAAGATACCTTACTTGGTGCTTCTTCCATAAGTGCCTAATTTCTAATTTTTATGCTGTTGAATATTGGCTTAAATTGAATGGTTTTTGATCATAACTAAAACAATCCATATGAAACAAGTATAACTCACTAATTTTAACTTGAAGATATCTATGAGCAAATATCTATACCTTGGGCATGTTTTAACTTCTATAGCCCCAACAACCAATGTAATTTTATAGTTGTAAAAATCTGCATTACTATTATAAATCATATTGCCTCTGTTCATTTAAATGATTACTAACAAATAATTGGAATAAAATGCTTACTTACAGAATTAAACATTATCTAAATCTACTTTTTTTATTTATTTTTATTAATTTCATACTGTTCTAATAAGATCTGTTGCCATGAAATAATGTCATGTTAGTCTTCATAAGTTGCCCAAAATTCGGATTTGAAAAGTCTATGATGAATATTTTTTTAATTGTACATTTTTAAAAGGAAAACAAACATATTCAATATATTTTGGATAGGCTGGTTTGCATTGTGCGGATTCATGACTGGAATTGGTGATTGGTTATCTGCTTTAAACATATACTTTCTCCTGACTCAAAAATTAAAGCTTATTTCTTTAAATAATACACAATGAAGTATAATTTATTTCTATAAACAAAGTTGTAAAAATTTTAATGTATGAGATTTTAAAATTCATTCACTGAAAATATGAATTGGCACATTTTATCCAATTCTTCCCCTTTATTCAGAGCTGCACCTTTTTTTTACCATAATCATTTTTCTTAGTTTCATTACATCTTTCTCACACTGTTATTTATCATTTCTTATAATCAAAAGTAATTCTCAGATATTTTGAAAATGATTAAGTTTTGATTGAATATTAGCTAGACTGGGGAAAATAATTGCAACATTTATTTTTACAGAAATGTTTTAGTCTAGCTTTGAGTTTGTGCCCATTAAATGCCTAGAATATTTCACTATATATAATATAGTGAATTGTTCTAATTAACTATCTACTCAGTAAATATTCTATAGAGATTAGAAGCTTTCTTTTTTATGATCTCTCTCTGTATTCTTAAAATAACTGACATTAAATTTTTGAATTCTCATAGTATTTATTTTAAGAATCAATTCCCTTGTATTTTGGGCACTGTATTCTATTAAATTATTTTACATTGGTAATTGATTGATCACTGGAGTTTATAAAGTTATCTCATACAAATTTATTTAGTAAATAACCAGTTGAGAATATCCTTTTATTGTCCTTTCATGAAGTGGGCAATCATGGATCTCCACAACTTCCAGTCTTTTATGCTCTAAGTAACTTGTATCCCTTTGTTCTACCATTCATTCACTCAAAGTTGTCAAGTTATTAGCTATATAAAACAAAACTTGGTTACTAAAGATAAATATGATTCCTAGCTTGGAATGAAACCACTTCATATTATTCCAATAGCAGTCATTCTTAGTTTTTTTTTCATAAGTTGACACTGTGTAAAAACTGTTTTACAAAACTCAAGAGTCACTTTGTAAATAAATTCCTATTTTTCTCAATTTTTTTATTTGTAAAAACAAAACAAAAAACATTGAGAATTTGTTAAATTCTACTTGTAAGTTTATCTAAATTGTAGAAATGGTTTCATAGTTTTAAAGGAATATTTCTTTTACTAAGACATTTTCTAGCTTAATTATATATGATTTTCATAGCTCTGTTTTCATCTCAGTATCTCAAAGCCCAACTTTTATATTGTTAATTGTAATTTGAGGCTGGTAAAAACATTTGCATTATCACTGTTTTAAAGATGTGGATGGTTAGTGTAACCTTTGAGATGTTAAATTTTATAATTGTGTATTCTATAGTAGCATTGGTCTTAGGAATTTTAATTTTTCTATTTTAAATAGATTAATTTCATTTTTGTGAAATTAGTTTCATTTCTCTTTCATGTGACTGCAATTTTCTCCCATTCTCAATGTCTTTATGATGTTGTTAACATTAGAGTAAAGCAAATACAGATATTTTATTCAGTTTTATTCAAATCAATTGAGAAGCAAATTCATGGAAAATGAAATTTATCCTACCCTTGCTAGAAAAAGTACATTATCAAATCTTCCTACTGTGTCCAATCTAAGATTAGTTAGTCAATTTATTCTGTATATCTAAAAACCAAATTATTTTTAAATACATATTTGATGATTTTGAAGTAATAAAACTGCTGATTTATGAGGGTGTGCTGCAAAGTTTTTGATCTATCCCATTTCCAAAAATCTCTCCAGAGGACCAAACTTCAGATATATTTATCTATAAATAAACATTAATTTAATAATTATTATATACATACTATTATAATCTGTTGTAATTACAAAAATTATTACATTTTTTTAATATATGTACTCTTTGATAAAAATGAAAACTTTTATTTAAAAAAGATTAATGTAGGTTTGTTGAATTATACCACTTCTAGTTTTTTCTATGTACAGTCTAGCTTACACTAATTATATCAGTTTGAATAGTTCAGAAATTTTCAATTTGTTTATAGATATTAAAACCTAACAAGCTTAATATGAAATGGCTAGACACTTGGTTAATATTAAATTTGATTTCTTTGTCTTAATGTACACACATATTACATTTCCTTTGACCATGCTCCACATTTCTTTCTCCGATTCCTTTTTGACATTGGCTCAATGTATTGACTTGAATGCTCTGCTATTCATTCCATATCAAAATGTGTACTTTTTGTATTGTTGTAAATATTACTTTATGGTTTTTATCAATTGGTAAAAACCTTGAATTTGAAAAGAAACCAGTTAAAAACAGAAATGTTGTCATCATGTAATCAACTTCATATTTTTAAAAAAATTCTTAATAATTCAATAAAATTAGGGGAAAAAAAATGAATAATCTTGTCATTGATTCAAATTTGTACAACTTTATATTTCTCTTTTACTTGATTACCACTGCTGTCAAAAATGATTATTTAATTGGTTTGGTTTTATTTCTAAAACCTAAGCTTTGACAGAATTTTCCTTAATGGAATAAATGACAGACATGCTGTCACTACTTGCATTGCTCGTCATCCTCAAAATGTCCCACTTTCACCTATGATGAATAAACAGCAATATTTGGAATCCTTTTGTATTGTCTTTGTTTTTGACTGTACTAACACTTTCTAACCTAAAGATAGTTCAATATGAATAACCTACTAATGACAAATTTGAATTGTATCTTATAAAAATTCTTGAATGGATCAGAGTAGGTTATGGCTTAAATTTAATGTATTCTTGCAAGTGTGGATAATTTGTGTGTATGTGTGTGTTGCAGATTGTTTAAGATTTATTTCATTGCATTTCATATCACTTGAAAACAGAAACAATTCTTTCATATGAAATGTTGCTTGTTCAAATATTCAGGCCAGCCACAAATTAACCTGGAGATTCTGTAACAAGAGATGTTCACTTAATGAAAATACTACATTTTGTGACATTTTATACTGACTTAGTTAAATAATGATATTGCTATACCTGCTGTTGGGCATTTTGAAAACAGCATCAAACATTGGCTAACATTTTCTAAAAGATTCTCTTGCTGGTTTCATACAACTTATTGTTATAGCCCTTTATTTTATATATATATATATATATATATATATATATATATATATATATATATATATGCACACACACACACACACGATGAGTGCTGAAAAGTTCTCAGCCAGACTTACTCCTCCCAAGTCGGTATTTTGATGTATGTCTGGTCATTGAAATACTAATTTTATGAAGTTGGTTGAGTAGAACTTTTTAGTGCCTTTTTGTAAGTTTTTTTTTTTTTGTGTGTGTGTGTGTATATATATATATATATATATATATAAATAAATGGGCGCTCTATTTTCATTCTTATTTCTATTTACTATATATTTTATTAGAATTTTTTTTTCTTTTTAAGAATAAATTAATGCATGTTAAATAATTTAGTTAAATGTATGAAGCTGGTTGTTGCTTGTGGTTAAACAATATTTCATGCAGCAAAACCAATGTTGAAAATCAGTTCACAGAACTCCCATAAACTGAACCCTGTATATTTCAACAACCTGTGAGTATTATTTTTTAAAACATTTTTCCATATCTAAATTTTAAGCTCTAACAATAGTAGGTGCTGTGCAAACATCTTAGCTCTTTTCTAAGTGATGCATCTTTGATGCTAGTGGAGATTTTTATTGGTCATATTAGTTTTAGGTCACCTCAAGTCTAACAGG